GCTTTTTAAAGAAGAAACTTGCTAACAGATTAAAGGTACTCCTGTGTTTACCTTGAACTGATTTAAATCTTAGAATAGATCCCTTGAAATCAGTGGGGAACCCTATATATGTGGGAGGGATTTGTGATTACGTTTCCTGGAATCACAACATCTACTGAAATGCTGTTAAAGTCTACTGTGTTAGTCTTGTGCAAGGAAATAGACTCTTTATTTGAATATTAGCATAAAATAATTAAAAAATACAAGTTTGTTTTCATGAGCCTCCCATTGGATCCAAGTGGATTCAGGCGAAGGTATCTTTATAGCTTGCTTCTGATGGAATGAGAAATTCAAAATATTATGTCTAGCTTATCTCATTTTCCATGAAAATTCTGTAACTGTAACTCTTCCTTGAGATTAGACTGGATGCCAAATTCTCCTATTCTTTTTTTTTTTTTTTTCCTTCTATGGCCTGGACTCTCTCTTCTAAAGATTAAGTCTTAAAAGGTCTTTTAAAGAAGAATTCTGTTAACATAGTAAAGGTACTCCTGTATTTACCTTGAAATGAACCAAGACTTAAATCTTAGGGTAGATCAGTTGTAAATCAGTGGGGAACCCTACATACATTTATTTATTTATTTCTTTATTCATTTATTCATTCATTCATTCATTATTTATTTATTTATCATTTATATTTATTATTTATTTATTTATTTATTTTTATTTATTTATTTTGTCAAATGTATTAGATATCAGATATAAGTATAAACATGAGTATGAATACAGGGAATGGATACTAATACTAATACTATCAAGAGCCTTGGTGGTGCAGCAGAATAAAGCGCTGTTAAGTATCACCAGCTGCCTGCAATTACTGCAAGTTCAAATCTCACCAGGCTCAAGGTTGACTCAGCCTTCCATCCTTTTGAGGTAGGTAAAATAGGGACCTGGATTTAAGGGCAATAAGCTGACATAGTATAAAAAAGAACATCGCTTAGGGAGGGCTGAAAGCCCTACTAAGCAGGTATATACAAAAGGATGAAGGCTATTGCTTAACACATTATAAGCCGCCCTCAGTCTCCGGAGAAGGGCAGCATATAAATCGAACCAATAAATAAATAATAAAAGGTGACATTAGGACAGGGATGGTAGGCACGTTAGTGCATTTATGCACGCCCCTTACAGACCTCTTAGGAATGGGGTGAGGTCTACAGTAGATAGTCTAAGGTTAAAGAAAAAGAGCATTGGTAGTACAGTGGTCTAAAGCACCCTGTTATTAAGACCAGATGCCTGCAATTACTGCAGGTTCGAATCTCGCCAGGCTCAAGGTTGACTCAGCCCTCCATCCTTTCAAAGGTAGGTGAAATGAGGACCCAGATTGTGGGGGCAATAAGCTGACTTTGTATAAATATACAAAAGGATGAAGGCTATTGCTTAGCACATTGTAAGCTGCCCTGAGTCTCCGGAGAAGGGCGGCATATAAATCAAATTAAAAAAAAAAGTTTTGGGGGTTTGGGGAAGAAACCACAAAATCAGGTAGTGCATTCCAGGCATTGAACACTCCTTTGCTGAAGTTGTATTTTCTGCAATCGAGTTTGGAGCGGTTTACCTTAAGTTTGTATCTATTGTGTGCTTATGTACTGCTGTGGTTGAAGCTGAAGTAGTCATTGACAAGTAGGACGTTGTAGCTGATAACTTTATGTACTACGCTTAGGTCAGACTGAAGGCGGCATAGTTCTAAATTGTCTAAGCCCAACATTTCAAGTCTGGTGATAGTCTGGTGTAATGGTGACATTTCAACTCAGTAATATTGGTTTTCACTAAATTTTAGGAACAGCTTGATCTGAGGCAGTATCTCTCCCAGATTATCAGAAAGACTCTGAAATAGAATTTGGGATCTCTCTGGTGTTCAGAAAAATAGGAGAAGTGGAACTCATCCAGTTTCACATATTTTAAGCTTAATTAAAATATGTACAAGAGTCTATGGATTGCAAATAAAGAAGACAAACGTGCATCTATTTTCTAAAAACTGTGTGAGTTCTTCAAAATCTTTTTCAGATCTCCAGCTAGTCAGCTGCTAAATAAGAAATCTTTATTTGTTCTGTCTATATATTTAATTTAGTAGACATTATTTATTGACTGCTCGTTGGCTTTCTGTATTGTCACCAGGAAAACTGCAGAGCTTTGCCTTAATTAAAAAAATAACTTCATTTAACTCCTAATTTTGGGGGGTTGTAAAAAAAATTCTGAACATAATTTAGTATAATTTAGGATTTATTGTATGCCTGCTTTGCCTCTCTCTGCAGGTGTTTATGTACAAAAGGAGAAAAAGTCAAATACGGAGGAAAAGAAAATTGAGTTGAGCAGAATGGCAGAGTTTGGCTCTACTTCGTTACTTGATTCAAAGTTTAAAAATGAAAGCTATGACAATCCAAATGGGACTGACTTTGAAAATGCCCAAATTCCAGATATTCCAATGTCTACTGAGATGATCATCTTTAATGTCATCCTTTTTACTCTCTGCTTTTTGGGACTTCTAGGGAATGGAAAAGTCATCTGGATCCTTGGTTTCCATATGAAAAGGAATTCTTTCTCCATCTATGTCTTGAATTTGGCTGTGGCTGATTGTGGAGTCCTCATGATGGAGGTTTCGATGCAAATATCCGAAATTCACAATCCATTTAATTTTAGAGCGTCCTTTTTTCTCGAACTTCTTTATTTTATGTTTTATAATACTAGTCAACTTTTACTCATAAGCATCAGTGTGGACCGTTGTGTATCTGTGCTTTTTCCAATTTGGCATCAATGCCGTCGGCCACCCAAATTGTCCCTCATTGTGTGTGTGATCGCTTGGGTCCTGCCCTTTGTGTACTTTGCCTTGGAAATGGTAGTTATACTTTCAGAGCCTTTTCTATTGTTTCAGTTGATTTTCAATGGGCTGATTTCTTACCCAGTGATGGTCGTTTCCACTCTGATCCTGCTTGTTAATATTTTCTTTAAACAACGCCAGCAAAAGCGGAAAAGGGTGTTGATGGTAACTCTGCTTGCGCTCACATGCTTCGTTGTATTTCGTTTGCCTCTGAGCATTTTTTCCATTATTACTTACAGCATAGTAAAAAACAGTGGTATAACATCAGAACTCGGCGAACTGTATACAAACTCAGTAATTGAAAGTAAAATGGTTGCTGACCTTTTTTTAGCTCTTATATATAGTTTTCACCCCTGGTTTCAACATATAATGATTCTTGCATTGCTGTCTGACATCTGTATCGTACTAAACAGCAGTATCAATCCAATCCTTTATTTCCTTGCTGGGAGAAATAAAGAGGAACGGTCCAGAGTATCCATGAACCTTGCTCTCCGCAGGATTTTCAGAAATGAAGAAGACACCAAGGAAGATGAGACACAACATGAAACCCACTTATGAACATTTCTGGAAAAAATGATATTCCTTGTTTAACTGGAACCTCAGTTAAGATGTTCCTATCTTCTGGGCTAAGGAGATAGATTTTTGGTTGTTTGTACATTGCGGTTTATTAAGTACAACCGTATACAATGATTTCCCACCAAATTTTTCCCTGCATGTTACATCATGGAGATAAAAATAAGATTCTAAAAAAAGAAGTCCAGAGAAGCTAACAGTCAAGAAGCTCTCCCCATCTTTTGGTAATAAGTTTTTATTTTGTTTTATAGCATATAAAAATTCCAACTTCAGTTGAACAATGTGTTGACTGAGTACAAATCATTTTAGGAAGTAATATTCCAAATGTTTACAGCAATATTTATCACATTTATATCAATATATATTAATACCAATAATAGTCATATTATTTGTTTAACCAATTTAACACATCTTCCTTGTATCACTGATCCTTTCATATATTTCCCTATTTCTAGCTCCTGTTTTTGTCAGCTAGCCAGTGATAAAATAAGTCCCAAGTCAAAAAAAACATTCATTTTCTTTCTTTTCCTTAATCATAAGTGTTAGCTTGTCCATTTCAGTGCATTCTAATATTTTTCTAATCTCGTCTTCATCTGTTGGGATTTTTCCATTGTTGTGAAAATACTATTCTCGCTGCAGTCAATGCATGCAAAATCAGATATACATTCCCTTTGTTATACTTGTCTGGTAAAATGCCCAATGAAAATGTCTCTATGTTATTTTATCCTTTTATCCTTTTTTCCTGCCATGTATGTATTTTGTCCAATATTTTTTCGCTTTTTGACATATCCACCACATATGATAGTATGAACCAAGTGTCTGGTGACATTTCCAACATTTTGTGGAATTATTTTGTGTAATGTTTGTTCTTCTTTCAAAAAGCAGTTTGAGTGTCCTCCTGCATTTTTTGAGCCAAGTGACACTCTTATTTGGTACCAATTAATCATAACTTGCTACTTAGACATGAAATATTGACTCAGCCTTCCATCCTTTCGAGGTAGGTAAAATGAGGACCCGGTTTGTGGGGGCAATAATTTGGGGGGGCGAAAACCTTACTAAGCAGGTATATACAAAAAGTGTAAAGGCTATTACTTAATGCATTGTAAGCCGCCCTGAGACTCTGGAGAAGGGCGGCATATAAATCGAATAAATAAATAAATAAATAAATAAATAAATAAATAAATAAATAAATAAATAAATAAATAAATGTTTTAGCATTTTTAGTGATGCCATATATTCTACCAAGTTCATTCATGAATCCATATATTCTACCAAGTTCATTAGGGATGAAACCTTGGAAAATACGTAACAAATAAAAATAAAATAACATGATAAATGCTACATATTTTGAAAATTTCGTGCAGTAAGTATTTTCTAACAGTTCTTACTAGGAAGGAAAAAAGGAATTATATAAGTAAAACATTTACTATACAAACATCTTCACTTTGAGAATTATACATAGAGCAATATTTCCTGTTTAGATTGTTTTGTGTTCAGCTTGTTCTGTAAATCACATCAGTTTTCTTATTCAACCCACATATGTATGGATTTAAAATGATTATACAATGATAGGAACGCTTCACAATATGTTTTCCTCTGTAGCTTGCTGCTCTTCTGAGCTTTCCTGCTCATCCTTGAAAACTCTTTGCAGAGCAACCTTAAAAGTTGCTCTGTGCTGATCCTTTCCCCTCTTCTTCCTCCCAACTAAGAAATAAAGGAGTGGGTTGATGCTGCTGTTGAGAGCCGCACATCCTATCCCAACTGTCATGAGGAGGGGATTATAGGAACCAAAATATTCAATGACATAAAAGACATCCATTGGGAGAGAAAAAAGGAGGAAGAAGAGGAGAGCCAGAAAGATGGTGGTGAGCAATTTCCTTTGATTGTGTTGTGATTTAGACCTCATATGAATCAAGAGAGTCACAGTGGACACAACCATGAGAGGCGTACAAAGTAAACCATTCACAATCAGCTGGTAAAGCAAAGGTGAACCTCCAAAGGCCCTGGTTTGCTGGAGAATGAAGTGCACCGCAGAGAGCAGGAAGGAAAGGATCCAGATGAGGCCACAAACAAGAGTGGGCAAATATGGAGGACGATGGCAGCGATGCCAGAGTGGGAAGAGGACAACCACACACCTGTCTAGGCTGGCTGGCAGAATAGGTGAAGGAAACTGGCTGGCAGAATAGGTGAAGGAAAAGAGCTCGAAAAATAAGAAGAAAAAGGTTTGGACAATGTAATTTCTTTTACCCAGAGTTAACACTGTCACAAATATTTCTGTCATAATGAGGGATGTGATGACTCCAAAATCAGCAACGGAGAGATTCAGGATGAAAGTGGTGAAAGAATTCCTCTTAATGGAAAAGTCCAGAAGATAAATTGTCATTCCATTTCCAACCAGGCCCAAAATACAAAGAATGGCAAAGAATCCATAGTAAAGGTTTTGTGTTAAATTATCAAGTGGCGGACACGAATTCTCTGGTATTTTAGATGTATTTGAAACAATTTCAGTACTATTGAAAGGAATGTTGACCTGTATAAATTCACTCCAAGGATTAAAAATCTCCTCATGTTCCCTGATAATAAAAAGAAACCAATCAGTCATTATTACAGAAATATATAGATGGGCATGCAGAAACACACTTTATTTTACTTACATATATCAACATATATTTGACCATCGTTTTGACTACAGCCCTAAAATTAATGTTTCTTACATGGTTGGTGAATCCAGAGTTTTTCACCTTAAAAGACTCACGATGCATTTCAGGAGAATTGCCACCAATACCCATGTTGCTGTTAGTTGCGAAGTCGTGTCTGACCCATTGTGACCCCATGGACAATGTTCCTCCAGGCTTTCCTGTCCTCTACCATCCTCTGGAGTCCATTTAAGCTCATGCCTACTGCTTCAGTGACTCCATCCAGCCACCTCATTCTCTGTCATCCCCTTCTTCTTTTGCCCTCAATCTTTCCCAGCATTAGGCTCTTCTCCAGGGAGTCCTTCCTTCTCATTAGATGGCCAAAGTCTAATACCCATAGTCAGGCATTTTGGCTGAGGACAGAGTTTAATACTATCATAACTGTGGTATTCTCACAATATTTCATTTATTTTACTTCATCCCATCTTACCTTCAGAACATCACCATCTTTGGATCATGAAGACTACCAAATTAACATATTTTATCAATATTCTCATAATTAGCCATTGGAGATGATCCGCCCTCCAGGGAAACTGGTCCCTTATCTGCCCCCTATTCTGAGTTCAAAATCCTCATTTTCTCTCTTGGGAATCTGAGGTGCCTGGACATTCATCCAAGATGGGTTAAGTTCAAACAGAGCTGGGTGAACTTCCATCCTTCACAGGAGATCCTGTTTCAAGAGTCACAATGGGCAGAGCAGAGCGACTATTTTCCTTGGAATATTATGTAAAATATTCCAATTGGAATATTATGTAAAAATTGGATGGCTGCCCTCATTCATGCAAAGAAAATATTTTGTACCATAATATCAGTGGTGAGATTCTAACAATGGTGAAATCTAAAATTTGTTACCACTGGTTCTGTGGGCGTGGCTTGGTGGGGGGGGTGTAATGTGACTGGGTGGGCGTGGCCAACATTTTTTTTTAACTTTTAAAAGTATTTTGTGGCCGAAGAGGTTGTAGAAAAAATGCTTTTAAAAATAAAAGAGCCTCTGATGATCGCGCGGCTCAGCTGAGTGTGGAGGGGGGCAGGGATTTTTGCTACCGGTTCTCTGAACCACCCGCCTCCATCGCTACTGGATCGGGCCGAATCGGGAGCATTTCACCCCTGGATTCTAATAATTTAACAACAGGTTCTCTGCTCTAATGACCGGCTGGGTGTCAGGGTTCCAAGTAACACCCCCAACGAAAGAAGACTCCGAGGCTCGAAGTTCCTCTAAGTTCCATTTTATTAGAGATGTCATATTGGCACATTTGGGAAAACCCGAATCTGAAAGTTTCCAGGTTTTCCCCACCCAAATGAAAGTTCAAGTTCCTGCCCAGCACCCACATGTCCATCACATGGCCCAATCAAAGCACTGTCCCAACTGGAGATGCCTTCCAGTCATCTGACTCCAGGTGCCAGGGCAAGATGTCCTTGACTCCCTGAGAAAGGAATGTTATTTTGATTATATATCTCCCATACTCCATAAAAGCCTCCCTCTCATTTTCCCACAGTAGAAAATGTGGCAGGCCTGAAGGCCCAATGTAAAAGATGGCTTCCAGGCCTGACATTGGGTAGTCATGTGACTGGGTGGGCATGGCCAACTTAATTGGTCTCATCCTTAGGAATTTTTTCCTTAGTCCAACTCAAAATAAAATAGCACAATAAAATAGCACTGTTCCAATAGTAGATTGGAATAAAATAGCACTGTCCCTATCCTAGGATAGGATAGGATAGGATAGGATAGGATAGGATAGGATAGGATAGGATAGAATAGAATAGAATAGAATAGAATAGAATAGAATAGAATAGAATAGAATAGAATAGAATAGAATAGAATAGAATAGAATAATAGAGTTGGAAGGGACTTTGGAGGTCTTCTAATCCAACTCCATGCTTAGGCAAGAAACCCTACACTACTTCAGACAAATGGTTGTCCAATCTCTTCTTAAAAACTTCCAGTGTTGGAGTATTTAGAACTTCTGGAGACAAGTTGTTCCACTGATTAATTGTTCTGTCAGGAAATTTGAGGGGCTCCTACAAAAATGAGGGGGTCAATCTTTTTTCCAAAGCACCAAAAAGCATGACAAGAAGCAATGGATGGAAACTATTCAAAGAGAGAAGCAACCAAGGACTAAGAAGCAATTTCCTAACGATGAGACCAATGAACCAATAGAATAGCTTGTCTTCAGAAGTTGTGGGTGCTCCATCATACACAAGCAACGCAGTTACAAAATAATTTGAAATCTTTACAGTTTAATACTGTAAGCTAACTCTTAAATGCTGAAAATGCAGGATCAAAAGACGTAAACATAGAAACAGCATTGTAACCCTATTCCAAATTAATAAAACCAATTCTGCTAATTAGAAGGTGTATTTTAAAAGACATAAGAACTCTGACAAGAAACTCCTGCTCTGTATTAACATTTTTAAAACTCCTTCCCTGGCCTAATCCTGTCCAGAGTGAGGAGAGATTCAACCTGGAAATAAGGAGAAATTTTCTGACAATGAAAACGATCAACCAATGGAACAGAAGTTGCCTTCAGTAGTTGTGGGAACTTCATCACTGGAGGCTTTCAAGAAGAGACTGGACAGCCATTTGTCAGAAATGGTGTAGGCTCTCCTGCTTGGGTGGGGGGGTAGGACTAGATGACCTAGAAGCTCCCTTCCAACTCTGTTAATCTGTACGATCTGTAAATTTTTATTGTTTCTACGCTGACTGTTTTCCTGCAGTTTTGTTATTGCAACTAAGTACTGTATTTGCCTGTTAAATGGTCTTGGCTGTCTGCCCAGAGCTATTAACTGAAGGGAGAGAGAGAAGAAAAAAACCCTGCTCTTTCACTTTATTTCCCCGCCCCCAGTTTTAAACTGGCTAGAATTTTTCTGCTGAGGAAATGGCTATGTGGTTATTTCTTCTTTTTCTTTTCCCTTCCTTTGATTAATTACAAATGAGCAGGAATGTCTGAGGTGTGTGTGAGTTACTGGAATCGTTAGGCAGGCAGGCAGGTAGGCAGGTAGGCAGGCTTGACTATTCAGCTGTTTCGCAGAACTTCAGAAAGAGTTAACAAGCGGCTCTCCCGAACCTGTGCAAACCGGCTGAATACCACAACTGTATAATATACTTACAATGTGCAGTATTTAGGCCAAATATGAGATGTGACTAATACAGGTTCAGGCAGTAATACTTTACCTAAGGAAGCAATAGTAAGTCATGATTATAGTTAATAACAACAAAATCTATCTATCTATCTATCTATCTATCTATCTATCTATCTATCTATCTAACTATCTATCTATCTATCATCATCTAGCTAGCTAGCTAGCTAATTATCCTATATCTCCATATATACAGTATAGTGTCCCCCTAAGTAAGTATTATTTTTTTTAAAAAAACAAACTTTTCTACCCATCCTTATTTTTCTGTCCTTTTCAGAGATGCATATGGGCCTCCAATCACATTTTTTTCTTAAAATTCTCTTCAGGAATATAGAGGTTGACTTTATTGCCAGAGTCCTACCAAAAAACAATGGCAAACGTCATTGTGTAAAAATTCTTATATTCTCCATAAGCCTATTTAATAGATGATCTATTCTCTCCAGCAGCCATGTTGTGAATGCACCCAATTATTATTTTTTTGTCAAAGTACCCATCTGCAGCACCATGAGCCCTACATATGTACAGATAGGGAAAAAAACTGATAGGGATCCACGATCTGGTGCTACAATTTGAATTTTGAAATAAGCCCATAAAGCATCTTCAAACACTTGAGTTTTTCTTCATCAGTAGGAGACACAATGGAAAGGAAAATAATATATAATATAATTCATGTGCTGCTTCTACTTATTATAAGATTAAATAGTTGCACCATTGTACCAGAAGTCTTGTTTGTTTTATTGAAGAAATTCAGATAAAAGGTTGAAAGGAACGGTCCAAAGCTCTGCAATTTAAGGGGAAATATAATTATCAGAATAAATAAAATGGAGCTTGACTTCTGATTATCAAGATGATTCATAGGAAGAATCATATTTCAGAGTCACTAACTTTTGTCCCATCCACTCAAAACCCTTCTTAGTTTTCAATCAATCAAGCAATTAAAATATATTTATGACAAAGATAAATTTAAAAAATCATTCATGTAATCAGTATGAAAAAGGAGTAAAAAATAATTTTGAGAATATCTTTTAAAAGTTAGCAGCAAACAATAACTTGAGGGGAGAACCTGTGAGCTTTCAGCAGCTACAGCTCTTGGTGAGAATTATGCAGGCTTCTTAGAGATTTCTGAGAAGTGATCACACAGGAGATATTCATGGTCGCCCCTTGCAAAAACAGTTAGAACTGTGAACAATTGGAAGGTTTAACCTTGATTGCCATTAGATATATATCAGGAACAATCTAATAGTATATGTGAGAGAGAGTTTCTGCCTCCTGATTGTTATGGTGGGAAAATAGGAAGCAGGTCTATTAGGCATGTTTACTGCCTTGACAATATCTCTGTCTCTATCATCTCCGGATCCGCTTCAAGGGGCTGGTACTCACCTTTAAAGCCCTACATGGCTTAGGTCCGGGGTATTTGCAGGACCATCTCCTACCCACCTCCCACTGTCCTATTTGATCTCACAGGGCTGCCCTCCTCAGGGTACCGTCAGCCAGACAATATCAGCTGGCGACGTCCAGGGGTAGAGCATTCTCCGTGGGCGCCCCTGTCCTCTGGAATGAGTTACCCACCAAGCTTCGGACGGCACCTGATCTCCGCTCCTTCCGTCGGGACTTAAAGATCTGGCTGTTTCAACAAATGGGTTGACCTTGATCCTTGGGTTTTTCTTATTTTGATTGTCATTGTTTTAACTGGGTTTTAATCATTTTGATCTTTTATTATTGTATGTTTTTAACTTGTGTTCGCCACCCTGAGTCCTTAGGGAGAAGG